AGTTTTACCTGAGACACTTCATCTTGGGCCCTGCTTCTAACTAGAACAAGAAATCCAGCCTTTGCACCGGTTTGCTCTCGGCAGTCACGCATAGGGCTTTGGTTTTTGATTTGCAGATGTGAGCGGACGACGTCATTCTGTCGGTCGATCGTTCGGTGGTTCCTTTAGAGTTGATGGCCACGCTGAACTTGATGGACCTCCACTTCTTGGTCAGGTTTCCTTACCTGTACCCTTAGGACATGGTAGCCTAGGCCGGCGTGTGGCACCGCTGTCAAGTCAGACTCCTTTCTTCCATTCTCAGTGCAGGGGGCGACAGGGTCACTGCATAGCTGTCGCCATCGAAGCTCTATGCAGATGACCAGGATGCGGGGACTGATCATCCCTGTGTACCTGCTTCAACTTTTGACCAAGCTGTGACTCCACTTTCCACGTTTTGGTTCATGGTCCTTTCATCCCCCGAACCCGTTTCCCTCCGCCACCTTCAGCCGCTCGTGAGCTGTCGTTGAGATTCTGCAGATGCGCATAGACCATTTGTTGAAACACCTTCAAATGCCTGGACACTTCACCTTGCGGTTCCATCGCCTTTTTCCTACTTGGGAATAGATTAACTGCAAACCAATGTCAGAGTGTGAGCCGCTCAGTCGTCCCACTTGGGTGCTGGGTGTGATCCCCGTCACTTGGGCGCTGAATTCATGCCGGACTGCCACTAACTGAATCTACCGTTTCCTCCCTCGTTGGATTATCTTAACCGCATTTTGTTTCACTCCTGGATTCCCGAAACCCAATGCCGTCGGGCCTACGGCAACTCTTCCACTGAGCTCGCTTTTGAGTTTGACATGTCCACCTGCGACTCACCTTCCAGGCCGCCGGGCTTACGGCGATGTATATATATATATGTGTCACACATGCACATCCACGCACCCCCCCCCACCTTGCAACCGAATTCGTGTTTCTATCCCACCCGCTATCTAGGGTAACAGAAGGAAATGGTACTCGACACACTTGTGTGTCGGTACCTTTCCTTCTGTTTCTCCTTTTCTACTCCTAGCTACCCCGGCTGTTTAAGACGAATGTCCCGCTCGCTAACTAGTGCATATAATTCATGCGTCTAAGTATTCAGCAACTAGCAGGTTTCGCAACTAGTGGGCCTCGTAACTACACCTATCTTTCTTTCTTGCCTTTGCGTTTTCCTTTCTGTCTTCCTTTTCTTTCTTTCTTTCTAAGGCTCTTCGGTTGGTAAGTTCCTCCAGAGCGCCGATATCGGCACTCTGTGCGTCTCAACCTCTGTAACTAAGAGTTTCGACTCCTTTCTTCCATTCTCAGTGCAGGGGGCGACAGGGTCACTGCATAGCTGTCGCCAACGAAGCTCTATGCAGATGACCAGGATGCGGGGACTGATCATCCCTGTGTACCTGCTTCAACTTTTGACCAAGCTGTGACTCCACTTTCCACGTTTTGGTTCATGGTCCTTTCACGATACTTCCCCCAAACCTGTTTCCCTCCGCCACCTTCAGCCGCTCGTGAGCTGCCGTTGAGATTCTGCAGATGCGCGTAGACCATTTGTTGAAACACCTTCAAACCCAGAGTGCTTGTTATTGAAAAGATTCAACACAAATCGTACATTTCAACACTAGGGTAGTATTTCAACAGAATCACTAAATTCTGTTGAAATAGGAAGATGCATGTTTCCTAACCACTGTTGAATTAACCAACAGAATCCTTATTGTTTGTTTCAACAGGACCTTATTGGTTTAGACCTTGGGAACCTGAAGAGATTGAACAGATTTTCACAGTTGCCAGAATGTGGTGCCACATGCTGTTGCTTTTTCCAGGGCAGTGAAACAAAGACAGTCTGGTAGCCCTTTTGCAGGACCATGCAGGACCCACTCCAAGCCCTTTTGCAGGACCAAAGATGCAACCCTTTTGCAGGATTGACTCTCAAAGTTCTTCATCAGATTCCATCACCTCCAGGTCACCATGTGCCAACCTGAGATGCAAGCCCAAACGATATCTCCAGGCCACCTTTGTTGGTACCAAATGCCCAGGTGTGCCATTGAGGCAACTGTGAGCAAGAGATGACATAAAACCAACCATTGTTTCTCCTGTGTAGGTGGACACAAACCTGCTGTTGGTGAATCTGAACTGTTCGATCATGTGGCAGCTCAAGTGATGCTTGTGTACAGTGCTCCATTGAAGAAGCTTCTGGGATATTGTCATCTTGGCCAACTTGGTGTAGCAGATCAAACACTTCTCAGTGGCCTTCTTATATTGCATGTAGGCTGACTCTTGAGGATGCAACCCCTCAGAATCCATGATGTGGTACATCTTGTTCAGGTTGCTGACACAATCTGTTCTGCATGTTCTGTATGGGCTGTCACCCTGCAAGTCTTTGCACAACTCCAGAATTGGAGGAATGAGGTATCTCACTTGCTTGGCTTTCACTCCTGAAAGCTCAGGAAACGCATTCCACTTATTGGAGGGCTGGCAGAAGTTGGACATGTGAATCCTCCTGAGTTGGTGAGAAGAGTCTGTGCCTAGCTCAGTGTACAGGCCTGACAGCCTCCTGTAGAACTCTTTGAGTCTGGATTCCTGGCTATTGCCTGGCAACTCTCCTTTGACAATCATATCAAATAGGCAGTTGGCAACTATGTGTGCTGAGACACCAAGTTCCAGAATATGGAGAGAATCATAAGTGAAGGTGTATCCATTGATGCCTGGCACTGTCATCACCAAATGCTCTGTGGGATTCTTTTTTCTGTGGTCAACAATGGTGTCTCTCCACTTGGCCCCAGGCCGATAATCATTGTGTGGGTGGCTGGTCTTGTTAGCACCACAGCTCCAGCAGCACTGTGCATGGGAACTTCCTGGCAGCTTGTATTCGTTTTGAAAGAACTCTCCATCTGCACTGATGGCATAAATCATGCCACAAAGCCCATCACTGTGCAACAAGCTGCCTGCCTGTTTGGATCTGGTGGACTTGGTGGGCCAATCCTTGGCTTGGAAATCTTTCTCTGGGAACTTGCCATAGAACATGTGACTCATGCTCCAGGTCAATATTGACCAAATGCAGTGCATGGTGTCTTCAGCTTTGTTCTCAGATTTGTGAATTGCTGATTTGGGGATGGCCAGGAGGAGCATTTGGCTGTGTGCAACATTAGATGAAGATAGCAGTGATCGCATGCTGAGAACCACAATACTATCAGATCTTTGAAATGCCCCTCCATCTCCATGGAGAATGAGTGGAAGGAATTTGTCACATCCTTCCTAGCTGGGCATCACATGTGCGCATGAAAAAAGGTTTCAAGTTTCAAGACAATTACAGTTCAAAGGCTCAGCCAAGAAGCATCCATCACTGGTGAGCCATCCAGCTTTGGGTCATCCATTGAGTGGCTGTCCCAGAAGTCATGGAGTTGTAGCCACCCTGCTGCCTGCTCTTCTGTTTGTAGCCAGGCAAACCACTCATGTGGCAGGTACAAAGACACAGGCTTCATACTGAGAACCCAATCATCTGGAGTTCTCACACAGACTGGAACTTCAGCCAGGTACGGCTCAGGAAGTTTGATGTTGTCAGACTTGCAATACTTGGAAATCATCTGGGAGGCTATGTGCTCAGAAGACCTACCATAGTTACCCAATGCAGCCAGCTGCTGCAAGTCAGCAGAGTTGCACCCACTCTTGGTTGCTGCCAATGCAATGGCTTGGACAGATGGCCCCTCAGCAATGAGTATATTTGCCTGCACACAGACACTTCCAGGAACAAGTTAGATGCTGCCCAGGGGCACTCATCCCAGAAGAGAACTGCTCCAAGAGAGAAAGGCCAAGGGGTGAGAACTCTTCTTCTTCTGGCTTGCTCCCTGTGGCATCAGCATACTTCTTCCTCTTCCACTTGCTCATGGATGGAAAGCCCTTTCACAGGGCCTAAGCAAGCCCTTTCACAGGACCTGTGCCCCCTGGTAGCTGAGTGCACCCAAAGCAGCTGCAGAGCAAAACCTCACCTTGCCATGTTGCTGTTGCTTACCAGTGTGTTGCAACACCCAGTGACTGTAGAGCAGGCAGCTGCTCTTCTTTTTTTGCACCACCAAAGGCCATGCTTCCTTTGAGGCTCACCCCTTTTCAAGCCCTTTTGCAGGACCCAGCCCATGCGCAGGACACAGCCCTTTTGCAGGGCCCAGCTTGACAAAGCCCTTGTGCAGGGCATGGCTCAGAACCATGTTGGTGGAAGCCTAGACTGCTCAGTCCCTCAGGTCATCTTCACCTTCTTGATCTGGAGGGCTGCATCGAACAGCTTCACTTTGGCATCCTCCATGCTGAGCTTGGCCCCCTGCTTCTCAAGCTTCTGCAGCTTTTCCAAGCATCCATCCAAAGGCTTGCCTTTTGCAGCCCCCACATCCTTCTTCACCTGCTTCAAAAGCTTCACCATTCTGCTCACCCTGAGGACAGCCTCTTTCTTTGGCAAAGCCTTTCCCACTGCAGAGAGAACTTCAGCTTCAGCCACTTGCCCATCCTTGCCCTCTCCACTTTCTGAGGCTTGGTCACCTTCTTCATCATCACCAGCATTTCAAAGCCAGTGGTGCTTTCCCCTTGCTGGGCATGACATCTTGCAAGGCTTGGTCAGCCAAGCCTTGCCTTCCATCACCATCTTCCAGCAGCCCTGTGGCTCTCATCTGCATCCAGTGGGCTGCTTCTACCCTGGCATTGTTCTCTCCTTGGTAGCCATGCTTTATTTCTTCCTCAGTCCATGCCACAGACTTCCTCAAGGCAAACTGCCACTCCTCTGTGTCCAGGGGATCCCTTCTGCAGGCGATGCTTCCCCTTTTCACCTAAGTCAGTGGCAATGGGCAGATAAGAGTTTGATGGGCAGCTCCCACACAAATAAATGCAGAGGCAAGATGCTCTTCTAAGGCACTCCTGCAGGCCAAAGCGTTTCAGCACTGT